GCGCGTGGCGGGTGGGGGCCCCCCCGCCCCCGCCCCCCGGCGGGCTGCCCGAGGGAGGGGGCTTTTCAGCCCGCCCGGCCGCTAGTGCCTCGCGTTTGATTCCGTCTCGCGTGTTTCGAGGAGCTGCCGTTTTCCCGGGCACTGCTAGTGTACTACGAAGCAAATACCGGGGGGGGGAAACCCAAAACAAACGTTGAATTAGTATCGATAGTCGTAACAACATTTCTTTGAGGATAAAAAAATATTAAAAAGAAATAAAGCTTCACTGATAAGGGGCTGATGGCTGTGCTGGCGGTCGTACGAGCTAACTTGTCTAATTAATGCGGTTTCACCACATCATTTGGATTTTACGATGCTACTCGTGAAAATACTTCTTTATGCCATTGGCACCAGCGTGCGCGGCCTGCTGTCGCTGGTCGCCGCCGTGCAGGTGAGGGAAGGGATTTAAATCGGTGCGACCAGCAGGCGTCGGCTGTTACCGCCCTGCGTTATTGCAGGTGGTTTCTCTGTGCCTTGATATCCGTCGCTAAATAAATCTTTGACAAAAGTGTTCAAAAGCAGTGGGAGCCTGTAAGAAGTGACCTGCTGGGTCAGACCAGTGGTCCATCGAGCCCGGTATTCTTCCTTCCAACAACCGCAATAGCAAGCGATAATCACAGAGAACTTGTGAGTTTAAGCACTGTGTGCTCCCCATTCTTGTCATTGCCGGGTGTCTGCAATTGTAGGGGTAGGGATGCTAGGGGGTACATTCCTGTTCGCTCCTTTTAGTGTCTGATTATGACTCTGCTGCCCTGAATTTGTCTAATTCCATGTTGAACCTGCTGATCCGTCTGCTTTCACAGCCTCTTGTGGTAGCAAGTTCTAGACATTTGCTGCCTACTACACACAAAAGTACTGAGATGACCACCCCAGACAGACATCAACAAACAGTATTTGCAGGAACACAGAGTGGAATTCCTGGAGGCAGAGACAGTTGAATCCTCATTTTTAGTCTTGTTGTAGAAAGGTGGAAAAGAAGCAGCAGCAAGAGAGCCTCACGGTTAACATGTGACATTTGTGGTTGATACAGGTAAACATCCAAATCCTTGTTTGTTTCCAGGGCTGGAAGAAACTTTGTTGATTAATTCAAAATGTAGCAGCAAGAAGGCCACAACTTTACAGACAGTTAGGATCCCAAGGAGTAATGGTAAGTAGGACTTCATTATTGGAACAGTATCAAGTAGTAGGTAACATATTTGACATGACTTTTGCTTCTGTGCTTTCCTTGCATTAGTAAAGGGAGAAACTCTTGTGTTCTGTTTCTACTCGTGCTAGGTCCTCCATTGCAGTTGCACATCCCACAGGTTAATCATGTAACTGCTGCTTCTGCAAAGCTAGATTTTTGCAATGCTAGGCGCTACAGCTGTAAGTTTTAGGGACTTAAGTTCTCCTTGGAGAAATACTCACGCTGTCTGCATATAGTGAATTTGCCAGGTTGTACCTTTGGTCTTCATTTAGTCAGCTACTTTCAAATTCATGCAAGTTACGTAGATCACTTTCAGAACTTTATTTTTAATGAATGTGCTGGCAAAATTATTAAGCTGGATCATATAACCATTCATTCATAACAAATGAATTTTAATGCGTTAAGAAAACTTTTTTTCTTTAATTGAGCTATGTTCCTTCTTTCTTAGTCAAAGCTACATATAGATTGCTAACGTTCTCTTCAGTGTAACTCCACGCATAGGAGGATATAGTGTAAAAATAGTTATTCTTTGAAAGCAGTGTATCTTCAGGACTTTTTCTCTTCATGAAAATATACGGGAGTTCTTTAGTCTCAGATTGTTCTTTTCCAGTGTAGAGTTCTTGCTTTTTTGCTGATCTGGGCTTCTCATCTCTTTTCAGAAGTAATTTCTCAGTATAAAATATTTTGTGTATAAACGCATTTAATTTACAATGAACTCCTATCAAATCATTGTCTTTTTATTTTGTGATTGAGCTGAGATTTAAAAAGTAATAGAAAAAACAAATTGTTATATCGAGTTCTTTCTTGGATAAAAGTCTCTACAAAGCCGACAGTGTCTCAAAGGTAGATTATACCCGTTAGACTTCTGTGGAGCTCACTTGGAAGAGTACCTCTTACTTCGCAGAGAATGAAAACTAGTGATTGGCTCATCTGCATGTGTGGAGCGAAGATTATTTGAAGAAACTCTGGAGGCAGCTGAAAATATTCCCTTCCTCCATGGAAGGGAAACGGGTGTGATTCTCCTGATGACACTGATTATCTTAAAATTGTTGGGAAGTCCCACTGAGCTTAGAGGGGTATTTCTGTAGAAGATAAGTGCTTTACACTTCAACCTAGAGCATGCGTCTCTCTCCCACCATCTCAATTTCAGAGCCCCTTTTGATAACTATGTTGAACTTTCTTTAGTGTAGCGTGGCATCTGTGCCACAGCTAATTTTTCCATCTTCTTTGAGACCTTCAGTCTGTACTTTAATAAGGAAGAAAGGAGGAAACAATTATGTTTCCACTGGAGATAATAGTGATGTGGAAGTTTCTCAAGATGGCACTCAATACGTCTTTAAAACCATGGAATTTACAAGCACGTTCTTTGTAAAGTAGTCACATTTTGTTTTAAGAATTTGAATGGAATTGTTTAAGTCATTTCTTCCTGCACCACATGCTGACCAATAGATTCAATACCTTTTTGCTGTTTATGTCTTGGGAAATTGAATGCTGTAATAAATCCTCCTATTAAAACATCTTAAATACGGTAGACAGCTGGAAATTACAGTTGAAATGGAATCTGTTTAAATGCTTAGATTTCTGAGGTATAAATATATAAACTAATGCTCATCTGTTTGTATATATACATGTGATAATTATTTCTTTTTCAGTTTTGGACCGAGTACAGAGCTTTTTACCACAGATGGCCCATGCAAATGATGAGCTAAGAAGAAAAATGGTAACAGCACCAGCTCATCAGTTTGATATTGAAAATCTAGACAGTGCAACAGAAAAAGTTATAGAAATGGTAAATACTTACTGTATTTTTTATTTTATAAAGTAAATTTAGGTGCGATTAAAATAATCCTCTGATCTTAGAGTGAGCTAATTTGATAGATAAGGCTAAGTCTTTACCATTTTAGTCTGCGATCTGCAAATTCAAAACACAGATGTAATAAAAATGCTTATTTGGTTAAAATTTACTACTTGGTTTTCATACTTGCAGAATTTAATGACTGGGGATGAAGTAGTTTAAGGCCAGAAAAACAGATACTTTTGAATCAGCGACTCTGAATCAAAAGTAAGTCACAAATTGTATTTTAAATGTCTCATGGGTAATTTGGTTTAGAAACTGGGCAATGTAAGGCATAGTAAGGCATAACAGAAGGCTTTAATATGAGAGTAATAACTGGCTTTCAGCTGTGCTTTGTAGGTATTTTTAGGACTGGCTAGAGGTCTTGGGTTTAGAAAACTTGTTAGTGTTCTTGTGATCCTTCATGGCTGGTATTTGTCTACTTATTTACACTCACATCAATATTTTCTTTCCGTTTTTAACGGAAGCGCTGCAGGCACATGCTCATGTACGAAAATTTTAATGTGAAGGTGATGTGATATGTGCGTGTCCCAGACAAGTGCCTTCCGGCCTGCAGACCCACAAGATTAAAGGCAGAAATAAGGCAGCCTGGGGTTTGGTGTGTGAGCTGTCAGAATAATTTATTGGCCACGGGTTGGATTTAGAGTTCTTGTAGATTGTAGCCAGCCTACATGCAATAGGTTGTCCAGTGCTGCTATATGCTGAAGAATTCCAAATAAAGAGTGAGAAGACGAAGTGGATCACGAAAATTGTTTGGTTTAATATGCTGAAGTGGAATGGGTAACTTGGACAGGATTTTAAAAATATTTTTCATGTGACAGTATCTGACAAGTGTCTTGTCTTTATTATAAACAAGCCAGGAGACCTAGTGATGAATAGCTTAATGCTATTTGCAAATCAGTGAAGAAATTTATTTGCACCTCAAATTCCTGTATTTTGCTTTGCTGCATACAGGAGGTTTTTGAGGTGAGGATTATCAGTGTAAGACAGATATTTTAAGAGAGAAAAACAGACCTCAAAAATTACGGTTCTGCATATGGAAATGTATGATCACATTTACTTCAAAAAAATATCCTGGTGGTTTAAACTACTTGCTATTTTGCAGTAGTTGTAGTGCCATGAACACTATTAGGTTATAAGATATGAACTATATTAATAAATATATATACACACACATTTGTATATATGTCGTGACCCCTTATACACTACATGGTTTCATTTGAATTCTTTATTGAAAATTAGTTTTGATGCCTCCTGCTCGTCAGTTTAAATATCTGATTTAGACTATACGAGTTCAGCTATTGACTCATTTCTCTCTTTGATAATGACATAAAAATGGCCTTATATTTGCTATAGGACAATACAAATTACAATTTAAATATTTGGGAATCTGTTCATGATATTTGTTGTAATCCTAGGAGAACCCAAAAGTCTGTCTAATTGTGGTTGTGGTTTTCTTATGGTAGTAGGCTGTTTCATGTGTTTGCTTTATGTTTTACTCAAATGATAGAAGTGGTATAGAAATGTATAATGTGTTAACTAAGGTCTTTTTTTTTTTTTTTTCCCAGAATGTGGCTGTAGTTGAACTGAGTGATTCTGATACAGATGAAGAGATACTAACTTCAGAGGATGACTCGGAATCTGAAGATGACTGTGTAACTGATGAAGTGACAATAGAAAACATTAAGTTTCCCAAACAAAAGGGAGAAAAGGGCAAAATAGAAATTTTGGACAGCAAAGTGAATGAGTAAATCCATTTTATTTTACTTAAAAAAAAAAAAGGCAAAAAAAAAAAGTCAACAAAAAAATGAAATAGTGTCTTCTTACTTTGAAGACTTGGCCCTTAAAACTACCTTGTTTCCCAATATAGCATCCCTCAGGATCATGTGAAATGCTATAGTTTACATGGTGGAGAGTTCAGGATCCACTCATGACTGAGGCAGGCTGGATTTCTGAAGAATTCAGTACGGTTTTATTTATCAAACAACATGGAAATGAACTTCATAGTAGGTTAGACTAATAAAGCAGCTAGAATTTGGGACACTTGAACTTATTAAGTTAAAATTTTTGTTCTGTTGCTTTGTTGAAGAAAGATTTTTGTAATGTGCTAGAAGAAGTTTTTGCTTCAAGGGCAGGAAAGAGTTAACTAGGAAAAAAGCTTTTTTTTTTATACTGCATGTCCTGTGAAGTGTTATGTACAATGTCTTCAATATTAAACATTATCTTAAAGTACATTAGAGGTATGTCTATATTGCATTCATGACAGTAACTGTTGAACGCTAAAGCAGTGGCCAAGTTCGTTTCAAGATGAGCTGGCGTGGGTAAGGACAGCCATGACTCAAGAGAGAGTCCAGCAAAGCATTACTTACCCTCTATGCCTGCACTGAGCTCCGTATCATTACGGGTAGGTTGCTAGCTCATATCTGGAACATTTGTGGCTGTAGTGCAGATACCCTCAGTACTTAAACGGTCAAGTCTGCCTCTGTGGTGTTACAATTACTTTAAGCTGCACTTTTCATTTCCCACTTTCCCTGCCGTGTTTCTGTCCTCTCCGTTTCGTTAACAACTGTCACTGCCAGGAGAATAAAAAGCTGAATTTTCAGCTGGCCTGTACTTAGGTTAGCTTGAAACAATTGTGAAACCAAAATTGGTGTAAGTGTGTCTCATTCATGCTTACCTCAGATGGACCAAATACAATGATTTGGGCTGTTGTATTTACTTCATAGATCGGTTTGCATTTCAGAAGTATCTATCATGCTCCTGGATGTCATCATTTGTTTCTGAAAGGAACTTTGTATTTTCTACACCATTAAAGTAAAATTTTCTATATTGTATTTGCTCAAATATTAAACTTAATATCATGACTTGAAACCTGCAGTTATTTACAGAATTTTATTTTGAATCCCATACTTGAAGCTCTATTTTTAATATCTGTTCCTGTAATAGTTGTGATAAGAAATAACAAGGTCTTTCTTTCAATGCAGCTTCTTAAAAATAGAATGGGGGCATGATTTATTGGGATTAACTGATTAAACCACAAAATATTTTAGCAAAGGGGAAGGATGAGAATTAAAGAATGGGACTGCTACTTTAATGGCAGCCCACAGATCAGATTAAGCTGTGGGCAGAGTTGCACTCTAAGAAGAGCAAGCGGTCTTAGTAGGCTTAGTGTGTTAGTTAAGGTCTCTATCTATGGAAAATTTGCTTCAAACTGAAGAAAGTTTGAAAGCCAACATCTTAACTCAGTCATTTGACAAGAGATTTTCCTGTAAACTAAAAAAAGTACGAAATACAAAGTAATAATCATGCTGTATAAAACAGTGATAACAGTCCATGTGCACAGACACAAAAAGTGATTTTAATCTGTTAAGGTAACCACCTTTCAAATGGCAGGCAGATCACACATTCCATATCAACAAAAAGATAGAAAATATTTTCAGTAACTTTAGCTGGATATGCATAGTTTAACACCAATGTTGAACTCTGTATGTACTATACAAAGATCATAGTAAGTGCACTTTCTTGCATTGATTTACTTCTTATGGCACAAAGGTTTTCTGTACTGCTGAAGAATCACCAGAGCAGAATGTTTAATTGCTACTGTAAAACTTGAACTGGTTTATAGCAAAAATGGCATAATTATATTTTAGTTCAACTTTAAGAGAAGCCTAATGACTAAGGGTTTAAAATGATCATGTGAATATTATGTTCACACAAATAAGAAGTAGGCATGTGAGAACTCTTTCTTCAGTTGTATTTAAAAAAATAAGCCAAACCATGCTCTTAGTTTTTTGGGGGGTATTGTGCTGAGAACTGCTGCTGCATAATTTAAATAACTTCGGGTTAATTTCCAAATGCTTTTCTCTTTCACTGAGACTAAAATTTGGACCTGATTTATAGAAACTTATCCATGGAGTGGGTGTTTTGTTTTGTTGTTGTTGTTGTAACACTGCAGACAGCCTATCCTGGGCATGGTATTAAGTGTTTCATGGAGTCATTAAGATTCGAACTCTGCTGAAAGTTTACTTTCCAAGTGAGGCTGTTACTTTAATATTCCACAGTGATAGCCTTGGTTCTAAGATATTCATGAAGAGCTTCTTCACCTGTACAAGCACAATATTCACCAGTTAGAATAGCAGCTACATGAGAGAATGTTGTCAGAGACTGTAACTATATTATTAAGAAAAAATCTAAAATGCTTTAGCTAATATTTGAGTCCTTAAGGAACAACGAGGAACTAATTAACTTACCCTCCCACTGAGATTTACAGAACTGGTTTGACAAGAAGAGGCCAAACCCAACAGATGTGGAAAGAAAAAGGAGCTGGAATTCAACAAGCAGCCACCTGGGTGGGACTGAAGCAGCGGCAGTCTCTGGATGGCCATTGGGGGCTCACAGTTGAATTTACAAACTTTGGTTTGCCTATGTTAAGTTTCTAGGTAAAGAAGCTGTGTAAAAACTTGTAATCTTTTTTTCCTGATACTATTACTCATTGTGGTTTCAGGAAATGCCTGATACTTGCTAGAGATTCCAAAGGCAAAAATCTGTTGTGTCACTGGGAATTTTTTTTTCTTTCATTTTTCTTTGCCACAAGGCTTGATCTGTCCAGACTTGTAAAGTTTCTTTGACAGACTAGACCTCGCTTTTTTAAAAGCTGGTTTTGAAAAGAAAAGATATTTTTAATGCATCTTTCTCTGTGGCTGTCGGCAAATTTTGATGACATTTTAAGGCAAAAACAAAAACAGTTTCCCATGCTCTTACAAGTTTAGAGGAGAAACCTAAATTAGTATTCTTTCTGAGGGAAAGGAAGGAAGGTTTTGGCCAATACCTTTGCTGCTTGACAGTGTTCCGTAGCCTGTACACAGCTCTGGACAAGCTGTAATGTGACTGCTCTGAGAGGAGTTGGAGAGGAATATTCTGCATGCCGTAGCATTATTTAGCAAATGTACAGGACGGGTTGGACTGGAGGTATTGAGGCGGGAATACTGTAGGGATGGGAGAGGAACTAGATGACTGTAATGGGAGGAATGTAGGAGATACGGGAAATGCATCCATAGCTCATGTTTTACTAGATACACTACACGGGTACGGTTGGTTTTTTCATTCATTTGGACTGTCAGATGTGAAATGAGGGAAGGAGAGAACAACTCACCTAAATCTTTCCCGAAGCCAGACTGTTTAAATCCACCAAATGGTGCTGCCACATCAGTTTTGTTATATGTGTTAATAAAAACCGTTCCAGCTTCTAGCTTTTCACTGATGTAGAGAGCTTTGCTTATGTCTTTTGTGAAAACTCCTGAAGCTAAACCATATTCTGTGGTATTTGCCCGTCGCAGCACTCCATCGACATCCCTACAGGGGAAAGAAATTATTTAATTGCAGCTAGGTAAGATAAACAAGTGTTAGCAACCTTCCACATTCAATGTCATTGAAGCACCTTTTCCCATGCTCTTTCTTCTCCAGTTAGTTTTTTTAAAGACAATTTATTAAAGACTAATCTGTGTGTCTAATCTGACAGATCTATGGAAATCCATACCCTTGCTTCAAACTTGCAAAGATTGTAACCTTGCATTTCAATGGTTAAGACCTACACTAAGAAATGTCAAAAGAAGAGTTGCAGTACGCATACCAACTTTGCTCAGCTACAGTACAACTTGTGGATTAGAGCAATACAAAAATACTTGTAAAGCAGAGCTTGGCAGCAGATTATGAATCAGTTTGCTAAAATTTTGGCCTGCTTTACAAGTTAATGGAAAATAAATGCTGAAATTCAGGCTTCTATCAAGACACAACTTTTCAGGCCATGTCCAGAGTGCTATTTTCTATTTGCATCTCATCTCCATATAGCTTCAAAAATCCATAACCATTTAAAACTTCAAAAAACTCAATACAGTCCCTTATCACCATACACAATTTATAGATAGGAAGGGTTATCTATGTGGCTCGTTCTTAATTGCATTATCAAACTGCAGAAAATGAAAGCTGGTGGAAATAGTTATATGAAGTTTCTACATAAGGTTTTAATCTCATCTGTGTGTAAAATCATTCTTATGATTTGGAATGAAAGCTGTTAAAACTGGCAGTCTGCAAAATATACAGTGGGATTTTCATTTGCAACAGTAATGTGCCAATGTTACACAATGCACAACAATGCTGTACGGTCTTTTGTGCCAGAGAAAAATAAGCGATTCCACTGGAAAAAACGCACATTTTGTAATTTGATCAAGCTGTTGCAATTACCACATCAATTTCAGTAAAAATGTTTCACTGAATACTGTCTTAAATAAGAACTGGCACTTATGGTTGCATTCTATCCCGTCACACACTGCTAATAGCATTAGTTCTATGTCGAGAGGGAGCAGGATACCCTGTACTAAAAAGGGTATTTTCTCAGAATTTAGCTGGAAGAGGATCTAGGGATTCAGACTGGTCTTACACGATTTAACAAAATCATACTACGTATGCCATCATTTCTACATTTAGGGTGAAAATGAGAAAATAAAGTTTCTAACAGTAACCAGAGGAGAACATACCCATTTTTAAATTTAGAAATCACCATCACAGGACCAAAGGACTCTTCCTGGGCAATATACATATGGTCTTCAACATCTGTGAATACAGTGGGTTCCATGAAGAAACCTAAACAGAGGACAGAGCATTGTTTGAACATGGTGAAAATGCTTCATGGTTTGTATTGTCCAGGCCGTCTCTTTTCCATACTTTGACGTCACAGACATGTTGAGACTTGAAACAGAAAATATCAAGA